ATATAGATAATACTTTTTCAAATTTTTACTTTTTTGGCCATGTTTTAATCATTTAAAATGAATGGAGCTCTTTCCACCTTCTTCATTCAACCTTTATTTATGGTATACAGGTTAATCCCACTGAGCCTCGGGGACTCATTTACAAGAGAAACCTGAAGTCTCTTCAAAATCTTTGTGTCGTTTACAACCTTTTACTGCTCGTTTCAGCTTTTCTACTGGTTCAGCTCCTCTCGACTTCTAATTTTCAGATATTTTTCTGCTTCTTTCTGCTAACTGGGCTAATTCAACTAAACAGCCCAGGGGGCCACAGTTTCTGAAAGCCAACAGCTCAGGGGCCGGATGTCCAGCGATTAAAATCTTTATGTAAATAAACCAAAGTTTACAATGATCTGGTACCTTTTAAATTTGTTTATTTTATTGCATTGAATCATAAATGCAATAAACATAACCCAAACCCAGAATCCCGCCCCTTCAAAACTTTCTTTTATTTGTTTGCTAATTTTAACCTTTTGTGCTTTTTCTTAATAATTTTAGCTTTGTATTCTCCTTTCAACCTCTTTCTGATAAATTCAGCTTTTATTTTTTTAGCCTTTACAGCTTTTTTCTTTTCAGTTTCTTTTTTAGCTAATTTCAGATTTTTTTGCAATCTGTTCAATCCTTCTCTGCCTATTCCAGCTTATTCTACTCATTTCTGCTCTATGCAGGCTTTTCTGCACATTTCTGCTGTTTTTCTGCTGCTTTTCACTTTTATTTTCCTGTTTTCAGCAAATGTCAGCTGTTCAAATCCAACTCGCAGTGTAGCGATGAAAGCTTTTCGGCCTGGTTTCAGCTTCTTCAGTAGCTTTCAGCAAAAATCACTCTGCAATAAGCATTCATACTGCATTTTTACAGGAAATGTAATTACTCTAGTTTCATTGGCATCAGTATTAGAAGCTAAGCTGCCGTAAGGACAAAAAACAAGTGTCTAAACAAAACACACATCCAAACTACAAAACTCAGACTGTTAGGACTAAAAATAAAAGCTATTTTTCTTTGCAGCATGTTGTAATGAATGACCTTTGATATCCTTAGCTGAAACACAACAGCTTTATAATGTTACAAAGCATTACCATGTAAAAACTTGAATTACTCAAGAACAGCTGCAGGTTTATGTAGCTTCAAAGCCTGGTGTAAATGATACAAATCTAATTTTTTTTTTAATCTGAAGTTGTGTTTAGGTTTACATACCTGCTCCAGCCATGGTACTATACAGTCATTGTGAAACAAATGATTGCATGGTAGCTGCCTAACGCTCTCATCAACACTGTAGTCCTCTTTGCACACAGGACACTCTAAACCAGCACCTGTACAAACACAAGACGGCACATCATCTGTCTGTGCATGCTACGGGATCCAGGGTCACGCAGATCCAATGAACACAAAATGTTGCATCACACTGATTCTGTTTAATCTAAGAAACTAAATAAGTTGTGAAGCCACGTTCGCCACCTCATGACAACAAAAGCATTACGATGATGGAAAAATAGACGTCAAAAGGAAAAGCCGTTATAAGATAAACTTACCGACGTGTTCCTGTGTGATGGAAATGGTTGGTAAACTCTTTATTCTTTCTCTGTCAGCAGGAGGGGGGCCGGTGTTTTCAAACTGGGTCAATAACTATGAAAAACAACACAATCACAATGAACGATTACCGAAATATTGTCCTTAAGAAAAATGCTTTTCTGTTATAACAACATAAAAGCATTATAACGATACAGTATAAGTTGGATGACTAATTGTGGTTCCGGTTAAGTGCTCTATACATTAAATCATATTATTTAAAAGATAAACTTACTAAAAAAATGGCATACAAAAAGGGAGACTGCTGTTAGTATGCAGCCACAAAATAATACTAAATATAACACTGTTGGAAAAAGGGCACCTGTATTATCTATAATATGAAGTACAAACTTGCTGTCAAGTGAAATAATAAACATTTTGTTTTTACTTGTGTAATGATGGCATCCAGCCCATTGGCCCCCCATGCGTAGTCCATTGGATTGGAATGTAGCATACCCCTGTGAGACAAGAAAACAATGAGAAAAACCTGCAAGTCTTAACGCAGAAGAACACAAAACCATTCCTACAAGACTTTCAACTTACCATGGTCCCATTCCAATGTTTGGCATGGCTGTAGGCGCTACAAATCCATTTACAAGCTGCTGGATGATTCTGAAGGAGAAAAAAGATCCCAGAGATTGGTATACAGTAGTATACTAATCAAATATCTAAAGAGCTGCCTTGCTCTCTCAATAAAAAGCAAGATTTTATTTTTGAACACTTGGTCTCTTTGCAGCAATATGAACAGAGGTGCTTAGGAAGTGCACTTGAACACATAAAATGTAAAACGTCTGAGGTATGATGTGCACTTAAAGTGTAAAATGAATATTCTTGTTCAAACAGAATAATGGCTATGCTTTTTAAAATGACATATTTTTGTATTTATTAGGAGGACTTAGTGTTACTGTGCTTCTAAAGTGTTGATGAAGGGACCATGGAATAATGTTTATAAAAGATTAAAAGATGGATGTCAATATTAAGAAGACCCTGACAAGTTGCATCGCATGTTGAAAAGGCAGTGGCAAAACCAACGTTACAATTTGTGGTAAAAGGGAGTCACTGTGGTTTAACTTATTTATTTGGAACAAATTTTCCAAGAGGGATAAAAATGAAAACCCTCGAGGTTGTGAACGACTAGTCATTCTTCATGAGTGCTGATGTAGAACAATATATGCTACTGAATCACGAACATCCAGGATGTATTGTAGTTTACCTCTATAAAGTAAAAAAATGGCTGCTTAACTCTCAGTGACACACACCTATGTTTAGCTCATTTTCTTGGTATGATAAAATAAATGTTTGAACGTGAACTTTTGAGATCTTTGAATATTAAGTTTCACTAAAGGCTTGTAAAAAAAAAACTCAACCTATGACTTCATTTGAAACCAGTGGAAATGATCCTGATAAAGTTTTGATCTTCATAATTAATTTCACTTATCAAAGGGATGCTTCAGGGCAGCTGTGGCTGAGCGGTTAGAACGAATGTCCTCCAGTGGGAGAGTTGGGGGTTAAATTCCGCCAGTAGTCATGTTGAAGTGTCCCTGGGCAAGACACTGAACCCTTCAATGCCTCTGATGTTTATCCCATTGGTATATGAATGTGATCCAAAGCACTGATTAATCTTTGTAGAATGATTTGTTCAGATTAGCTTTGTAGAGATGTAGTAGAGTGCTGTATGGATGTATGGATGGATGAGTAAATGAAGACACAGATTGTAGTGTAAAGCACTTTGAGTATCTTGATTACTGGTGGGTAGAAAGGCACTATATAAATACAGTCCATTTACCGTTCAGATTTGATGTAAGTTTAAGTTATTTGCCTATTATGGATTTTCAGGGTTTTACTTCTGGGCAACTTTCAGGGTGCTTTCAGTTCAGAGAATCTGGGCAAACCTATGATCAATTTTTTGAACACACTCTCTCAGTACATGTTAGCTTGACTGCTCATCCTGTAATAACACAAAAAAACTGAGCTACAGAGTGTTTGGTAAAAGATGGCAACAATCACTTCAGTGTCCTATATAATGATTAAAACATACTAAACCTCATTATTCTGTATATTAGGCACACAAATGAATATCATTGTTTTAATTATATATTAATTATATTGTAAAAGGATACACTTGAACCATGCCGACTTGTTTTCCACATGCTATTGCTGAAAATGTCTCACCCCTCTAATGTGGGCACTCCATCATGGCGCGTACCCTGTCGTCGAGGCAGATGTCGACCCCGTGGTTGCCTTGCACTGTATCGTTGCCGTGATCCCATCTCCCTTTCTCTCCTGTTTTCTGCCTCTCGGTTATCCTCTGGGTTTAACCTAGTTCGAAGGTCAAAGTTTTCATCAAAAATCCCGAGGGCAAATGGACCGTACCCAGAGGGAAATGTGAATAAGTGATGGTGGTCCATGTTCTAGTGAAAAGAAAAGAGGCAAAATCAAATCATGCATCAGGCAGCGATAACATTTTCTCAAAGGTTTATGATTTGCTACCAACTTCGAAGGTGGGGCGATTCTGGTCATTGGCAGAAGAAGTAGACGCAGACCCATTTTCAGAGCTGCTTGACCACAAAACAAAACATGCTCAGAAAAATGACAAAACACATGAAATTTATAGAAGAATATTAACCCCTCCTTACCTTCTTTCTTCAGGCAATTCCTCAATAAACCCAGACTCACAATGTGGACATGTGTAGTCCTACAAAGAAAGACATTTTGTTTACATCTGTTCAAGTCTAATGTCAATGTTTTCTACAACAACAGCTAAAAAAAATACAATACTAACCTTTGTCTTAGGAGGGTTTAATGAGAAGTATTACTAATTCAAGATCAGGATAATTTGTGACTATTTCCAGCTGCTGAATTCAGTTCCAACACAGCTGAGAACTAAACTAATCTTCTGACAAAGGTCCATCAGAAAGTGAACAGCTGACTAAAGTAAAAGGTACTGTAACATTCAAGAAGCTTCTCATGAAAAGCTTGACAGAGGGCTGAGTCAGGCTGGCAAGCTGTTGTCACAACATTGCGTTTAACAGAAGTGGATGTGCCAGTTTTACTTTATTTTATTACTTTTATTATCCACTATGCTATAGAGCAACTATAACCAGGCTGGGGTGGGGGGATCCTCACTAAATTATATATATTTGCTCAATAAAATTGCCTAACTGACTCAAACCCTAACAAGACAGACTACTCCTACTGTGTATGTCATATATACCATTCATTGTTGCCTCAGTTGACTAGTTAACATTACACACAAATACAACTCAAACTATCTAGTTGAGCTCTGAATGCTTCTTATGTAACAATATTCTTAAAACTAGATTGATGAAGCACACGGTTATAACTCGATACAACACAACTTTACTGACACCGACACTCCACCGTTCGTTGCCTTAACGACTAGCTTAGCAGCAATGAATGTGGACGAGACTCGCTGAGCTCAAACGATTAAAAAAAAGCTGAAATGTAATTTCTCACTACACTGGTGAAGGATTCTTACCGGTAAACGTGGAGCGATCTCTTCTGAACACCGGTGACAAAAATACCGGCAGGGCCGTAAAGAGGCTTCGGCCATTTCTAGCAGTTGGACAGTACGGTGGGTACGGACGGGAAGCAGCAAGGGACAAACAAGACACGACTTTTGCTTCGGAGACAGGAAGAGGCAGGGTTAAAAAGATAAACGGAAACCCAGTGCATGCCAAGTTGAAAACATTACTGTAAAAATAATAATTCCAGTATCTAATATTTTGCAATCAAGTGTAAAATTTTGTTGAACTGGTTTAAGGATTAGGCTTTTTTATCGTGAGAAAATAATTTTTGAATGTGTCTGCGAGGTTGATGGAACCTGTTACATTTTGAGCTTAATCATTAAAACTATCGGAGTAAATAATCAAAATATATTACCATATTGTGTAAAAAGTCTCAGCGTAGTTGAACTTTTTTTGGTATTTGTGCGAGGTGTTAAAACTATGCTTTTATTGTGAATGGCTTTGACCGGAAGAGGAATTGTTGGTAATGCTAACATTTGTTCAGTCGGTTAGCCGCTATCGTTGCGCTAAAGGCCCGATCGTTTTTAAAGTGTTGATTCATCTTTGCTACGACCATGGAGTCTAGCGGCGCAGGTACATCTTTACGAAGACTGCAGACAATATCTAAATTTATGTTAGCTTTAATGATTACATACGTGAGTTAGCTTTGTCACTTGCTAGCTAATGTCGCAGCTGAACGTGGACTATTCACTTGCTGGCGTAAACAACAGCTCTGGTGGGGTTAACTATCTGGTAGTTTCGTTTAACTCGACAACGTACCAACCACATTATGTTATTTAAAGACTATTACCATAACTAAAAACATTGAATGTCGGCTGTAGCTATTAATTATCATACATTTTGATTGGAATACAGCGCTGATGAGCAATACAGACGAGTAATTTTTGTGTGGCCTAAAGCCTACCAAACATTTCACCATTCATTTATGTGTATGAAATAAAGATTGTCTGTTGTTACTGAGTAATAACCTATTTGTAAACTTAGTTATGTGGAAAATGTTATGAGCATGCATCAGGATGTTATAGTAAGAAATACATCTGTTGTAAAGTGGTTTTCATTCAACTACATCCATACTGTTGTCTAATCTAACATTGAATTTTTAAATTTCTTATAGGGCGAGGAGGATCGTGGACGGCCAGACCAGGCCAGATACAGAAAAATAAGATGAACATGAATATTCTTCGTCAAGAAAAACTGATCGCCCAAAAGAAGAAGGAGATTGAAGCCAGAATGGCAGAGCAGGCAAAACTAAAGGCACAGACCACCAGCAAGCCCGTGCCTTCTAGGTAATGCAAAATTGAAAATGACACAGATATAAAAACATTTAATATGAACAAACCCGTGTGTTTTCCAAGGACAGTGTCTAATCTGTGTAATAAGTCATAAATATTGTGTGTTGTGATAACATTGAGATGAATTATTACACTGTATATTTAGACATATGTTGTGTTTGCTGGTCTCAACAGTTTGCCCAGTCCACAGGGAGATTCTTCCAATAAATTTGTAAATGACGGAAGCTTCTTACAGCAGTTCATGAAGATGCAGAAGTCTAATAATACCTCTGGTTAGTTTCTTAATTAGTATAATCTTATTCTAAAGTTTTTATGTGTTTTCCCAAGACATTATTTAATTGATAAAAAATACTGTGATATTTAGTTGGTAAATTGAGAGGAGGAATGCTTGAATAAATGCTCTTGTAATTCTGACTTATGTCAAAAATGGATTTGCAAATACAGTATAGTAATAGCTGTGCTATGTGTATGTACCTAAAGCCCAAGATCTTTAAAAAGGCACACAAACATAAGGAAACTGCAAGTAAAATCCTTGTCAATAGAGTTTCCATTACCTTACATAATGTTTGATTCCAGTATGTTTTGGTTGAGGAAGAAATGTTAGAAATGATAAAATAACAAGATTATTTCAAGAGTAAAACTATAGTTGTTTCTAAAACATATCCTTTTTCATTTTTGTTGTAGATTCTTCCAGTGATACAATGGCTCCCTCAGTCTCAGCTTCATCTCCAGGAGGAACCTCTCTGCAGAAAAAGAATGTTTTTGTTGGCCAGCGGCCCACCCTTAAAGTTAACAAAATGCTTAGTCAGTACAAGAGCCTTTCACAGTCCAAGAAGAATCCTGTTCTCAGCCGGAGGCCAAGTGTGTTTTGTTCAACTGATGATGAAGATGAAGAAGAGGAGCCTGATTACTCCAAATTCTTAGAGATGAAAGGTAATTCAAGGCCTGTGCTTTTCAGGTTTTTTTAGGACATTGTCATGGCTTGGACATTTTATTGGGTTCTCTTCAAACTCCAGTGGCACAATTGCCTTGTGTCTGGCATTTTTTCCATATGTGCCTTTTGAGTAATTGTACTCATAGCCTGCTTAAAGTCTCTCCCCCAGAGGATTCAGACACCAGACTCATTATCGACAAGATGGCCTCTTTTGTAGCGGAAGGAGGACCTGAGCTGGAGAAGAAAGCCAAGGAGGACTACAAAGATGATCCTGTTTTCTCGTAAGTCTAATGGACATTGTGGTTCAATCAGATTTATTTATTTTTCTTATTGTATTTTCACACTTTTTTTCTGTTATCTTTCTCCTTTAGGTTTTTATTTGACAAGAGCAGCATGGAGTACCTCTACTACAATAAAAAAGTTGCAGAATTGAAGAATGCTTTGGAGAGAGACGAGAATAAATCCAGTAATGGTAAAATTACAATTATCTTCTCTCATTAATAGCCTCTGATTTTTTCTTTTAACTAATAAAACAATAATAAAGAAGTATTGTAGAGTAGTACTGTCAGGTTTAAGTTTCCATAATGTGACACAAACGTCATGTTATTATCAGTTTGACTTTAAAGTCATCTTTGATTAATTTCCTTGCATGTATTGTAGTCCATGTTGTTTACATTAACAAATTTTAACAACCTCACCTCAACAAATTAGTTTAGAAAAGCAGCCATACACAGTTTCACATTTCTTTAGAGCTTAGTCTGGTAACAAGTTACGTCATTATGTAAATTGTATTATTATTATTATTAAAGATAGTGGTCCATTAGTAGGATTTCCCTAAAGTATTGTGGCAGAGTTCAGTTAACTTACTTCCCTGAACAGAAAATTGTGTCATATGGCATTCAGTTGCATTTAAATTAGTAAGCATTTTAATTCTAGTTTTGAAGATGACTTCATTGTGGACGTTTTTTAAACTAATCTCCACATTGTAGGCTTTCTGATCCAAGAGTCAGGACACAGGACAGCACATTTGTATTTATTTTCAAAGCTGCAAACATACATGGCTACATGTCATACAGTAAACTTTGATATCCATGTTTTTTTTTTTTCATCCTGTTTATTTTTGACGTTTACATCAGCTGTAATCTGTTTATAAAAGTCTAGGAAAGCTTGTGTTATACACACAAATACAAAGTTTACATTGTGAGCAGTTTGTATGTGGGGAGAGATGGCTTTACTTCTGCTTTATTTGTTGTAGTAAAAGCCTCACATCCAAACAGTTCCTTATTCACCAGCCCTGTCACCCTTGCTCCTCCTTCCCCTTTCCTCCTCTTATTCCCTAATGGCTCTAGACTGGTGGTGTGTGAGGGCCAGTTGAGTACGATACAGTAGTAGTGTGAATTGACTCCCAGTACTAATAGGCTGCTTAAAGTCTCCCCCCCAGTGGATGCGGAAACCCTGCAAATCATTGAAAATCTGGCCAAGTTTGTGGCAGAAGGTGGCCCCGAGGTGGAAGAAATTGCTGTTGAGCGCAACCAAGAAAACCCAGCCTTCAGGTCATTTATCATATCTGTGATAATCCTTTGTTACGCCGAAATATTTAAGTCAAACTTTTTAGATTTCATATCAATTTTGTTTTGTTTTTCAGCTTTTTATATGATCATCAAAGTCCAGCTTACCAGCTCTACAAAGAGAAACTGCAGGAGCACCTCGCTGCAACTTCACAGAACTTTTCACCGCCAGGAACAGACATCAAGACAGATGTTCAGCGACCAGGAGCCCCTCCGCTGCTCAACAGCTCGTCAGTGGTTCACAGTCAGGAATCAGAAACGCCGCCAGTCAAACGGAAAAGAAAGAGTAGGTGGGGGTCTGAAGATGACAAAGTGCAGTTGCCAATTCCCCCGATCGTTATTCCTCCCGAGATTATTGTTCCAGAACCTAACACACCTGCCCTCACTGGTAAGCAAAATTGTTAATCTGTGTAATGTGTGCGTTTGTTTGCATTTGTCATTTGTAAATAATTCCCAACCTATGTTAATTTAATATAAACATGTTTTTTTGTATGGTTTCAAGTCATTATAGGAAGTCCTTATATTTTTTGCTCTAGCAACATGGTTTGGAAATTACAATTGAATAATTAATTTTAGTGACTCTTATGTGGTTTGTTATTTAAAAACATACTATTAATTTTTTTGTTGACTTTCAGCTCAAGAGCTCAGTGGTCTTGGATATAAGAAGGGAAAACCTCTTGGGCTGGTTGGAGTGACTGAACTATCTGAGGATCAGAAAAAACAAATCAAAGAGCAACAAGAGGTAGAAAATCACAAGCGTTACACTGCTCCATTTTGTCATCCAGAACATTTTATTTCTCTCTTAGAAAATCATTTACACCTCAAACTTGTTAGGACATAATACATGTTGTTGTTTTTTTCCCCCACACAGATGCAAGAGATGTATGAGATGATTATGACGCACAAGCGAGCCATGGCAGATATGCAGAAGTTATGGGAGAAAGCCATTAGAGATCACCAGCATGAATATGACAGTGATGAGGAAGTGGACGAGCGAGCTGGCACCTGGGAACATCAGCTGAGAAAGATGGAGATGGAGAAGACGCGTGGTATGCAGTAGATGTTTTTTCTAAATTAATCACATAAGTTTTAATGCCATCGTGTATTGATGTTGACATAGTCATGTTGTTGTGATTTGAGACATAATCCTTGTTGTAAGATTGTTTTTGTTTGGTTTTTTGTACATTTGCAGAGTGGGCTGAATCTCTGACAGAGCTGGGCAAAGGGAAACATTTTATTGGTGACTTCCTTCCCCCTGAAGAACTGGACAAGTTCATGGAGACGTTTAAGGCACTCAAAGTTAGTTTTCCCTGTATTTTTGTTTTTTAGCTTGACTGGATATAATCTGTTAGGTCTGATGAAATGCATCTAGAGTAAAAATATTTCATACATTTATAGTTCAATGTATTTTTAAGAGAAACAGTTTACTTGAACTACGGTTAGTTAGAAATGTCTAAACATGATTGTAATCACTGATTCTTTAGCTGTTTATCCACATCAGGGGCATTTTAGTTGTAGCTCGTTCGGACATTTTCCCAGCAAATTCTCTTTTTGCTTTTCACGGTGAATCCCCACAGGAGACCATAACTATCGCTTCTTTATTTGACAAATGATTACATTTCTCCTTTGCTTTCAAACCCCTTTTTGTATTCTCTTAAGACTTCAAATTTTAAAATGGCTAACGTCATTTTTCAGTAAAGATGTTGATATTTCAGCGCCAGAGTGATCAGACATCAGTGGAGAGTCAGCAGTCGCACAATAACTGGATGTTATTAAATGCAAAACTGTATAGGATTTAGGAATGTGTAAATAAAGAGATTTTTTTTGCCTCACTTGTGCATTTTCCAGGCTGTACTTAAGCATGTTAAATCTAATAAACATATTCATGACAGTCTTTGTCATATGTTCCTTACAAATGTGAGGAAAATCTTCCCTCATCTATGATCATTTGCTAAATATATTTGTCTTACCCTGCTTATGTGACATGTTTTTTATCATTTCTCTGCCCTTACCAAAAATGATTTGTGAAGTCTGCTTAGTAGACAGGAAGCAGTGCATAGTTTTAAAACCCAGTAGTATGATTAGCACTCTTGTATAACTTTGTGTTCTGGACTTGCAGGAAGGTCGGGACCCTGACTACTCTGAGTACAAAGAGTTTAAGTTGACGGTGGAGAATCTTGGTTTCCAAATGCTAATGAAAATGGGCTGGAAGGAAGGGGAAGGCCTCGGCAGTGAAGGACAGGGAATCAAAGACCCTGTCAACAAGTATGACTTTATCATCACTAGTTTCCACCTATGACTGAAATCACTGTGGTACATGTGTTTTTATTTAATTTTTTTTTGTTGTTATTTAGTACAAGAAAATTGAATTATTTAAGAAAAAATGCAAGAAGCAATATGTTACCGTAGTACTCAGTAAATTGGAGATATACAGTGTACAAACAAATCACCTATTTTAAGTTCAGCATGAGCTAAAGTTACTTAAAATGTTGATCACCACTTTACATTATTGTAGGAATGAAGCCAGAGCAAATGTTAGCAGATAAATTATGTTACTGTCTGTTTACATTTGAATAGGTCTTGTCACACCAGCCATTTTGACCACTTGAAGCAGATAAAACCATGAAATAAAACTGAAAGTAGGTTAGCAGCAGATAACTAAAAGTGAATTTAATAATCCATTTAAGGGGATTTAAAGGGAGTTTTTCCTTTCCACTGTTGCCTTTGTGCTTGCTCAGGGTTGGAGACTGCAACAAACAAAAGATTCATTGTGGTCTGCTGGCTTCCTTAGATAAAGAACTTTTACTAATTGGCTTTTATAATGTATGTGAATGCTTTTGTACAGTGCTCTGAGACAACTTCTGTTGTGGCGTGACACTTTATAAATAAACTGATTTGAATTTAAGAATGTATAATTTTATATTTGTTTTGATGCTTTGGAGCTTTTTTTCTATAAATCTAGTGTTGGTTTTCCAGACATTTGTTTTTGCTTGTTTTTAGTCTAACAGACAAAACGAGAAGGTATTAAACGAATGTGCCTCTCTGTCGCCCTTTAGAGGAACGACACCTGTGAACGGGGCGGGGATAGGAATCGACCGTCCAGCTGAACTTTCAAAAGGTGACGATGAGTACGATGCTTTTAGAAAGAGGATGATGCTTGCTTACCGCTTCAGGCCAAACCCACTGGTAACATATTTTATGCTTTCTCTTGTTTATTTATTTTAATGGATATAATTTGTCACTAACTTGCTTTATTTTGCTGATTTGAAATTGCATGTAAAATTATATTTACATTATTTAATTATTTAAAGAGTTATACATTTTTAATTGCAAAAAATTAACCCTTCATATTTGGCTAATCAGACCTGGTCAATTGTCTTGTTTTATCTTAATTTAATCTACTGCTGTTTCTTTACAGAATAATCCACGGAGGCCGTATTACTGAAATAGAGGACCCTTTCTGTTTATACTTCTTGTTGTTTATCATAACATTTTTGCATTTATTGCTTATTGGCTTGGTTATGAAGTGGATTGGCAATGTTTTAGCTGTGGAGTTCTGTCAGAATTAATGTGGTTAAAATTTGAAAGTAAAATAAATATTAAGTGACATTTTCTGTTTATAACAAGAAAAAAAACACATTTCTTTAAACATTTGCCCATCAGTTTGCTACATAACAGTGTAATAATGTAACACGTTAAACTGTATGAAAACTGGCTTCTGATTTTTTTTCATAGATTTCACTACAGTTGGCATTTTTATCCTTGCAAATCTTTGCACTCCCAACCAAATAACATTTTTTTTTAAAATAAAACTATCATCCGTAGAATTGCATTTAGTGAGTTTATTGCTGTGCTCATTTCCTTTTATTTATGTTTTTTTCAAAATAATAAACACAGTATTTGAAATGTGAAATTGTCACACAAGTCCAACAAGATTCTGTGAAGTATTTGGAGTAAATGACTTGTCTGTGTGCTGAGTTCAGGCATTTGTGTGCTTTTGTTGATACTTCTATAACTTCATATCGGCATTGCTCGGACCCACAGTGTTTTAAAGCTGCGCTGACTCGGCTGCAGCAACCTGCAAGGAGGGTGACAGATCTGTGAAATCAGACCTTCACTTTGACATTCCTTAGAGAGGTTTACAAGAGATAAATATAACTCAAGACATCCAAGCTAAGCAAGAGCAGCTTTTTAGTCACATCGTCAAATAAAAAGCAACAGAGTTCAAAAAGTAAACGTTTATTAGAAACATGAATTGTGATGCTAGCATAAATCTAAAAAGATTAGAAATGTTGCATGTGACAACATGTCAGCAGATGACAAGTTTTGTTTGAAAATTGATCTAAATTGCATTTTTAAGCATCTAATCTATTCCTTATATCTGTTGCATGGGTCAAACATTTGAATATTGTGGAATTGTGCACGTAGTGAATGAATAAATGATGTTTGTTGAGGCTTTCCCATTGCAGAAGATACCAAAAAACAGCTGTTCTGTATTATTACATGATTGGTTTTCAATGTAAATTACCAGTACTATTTTTCAAAGCTGCAATAATGAGTTTCATTTCATACTGGTTCAAGGCTTCTGTGTTCATTTTGTTACATGTTAGACATAAAATAAATATGTCGTGTAAAAATATTGTGTTCCCTTTTATTCTTTTGTATTGATCCGTGCAGTCTTTTGTCTATATAAATTTAATTTGAATTGATGTTTATTTTATGTCTCATTTTTTAAATAGAATTCAAACAAATTAGGTCTCTGCAGGGAAATTTACATTGCATTTTATCAGCAAATTGAAAGACTAAAACAAGACATTCTTAATATATAATTTATAAATGTACAAAATTATGTTGTATATAAATGTTGAAAATGGCCTATATACACATGAAATGCAAAAATAGAAATGTAATGCTAAGATAAGCAGGCATGAATTGTTTTAGTCTGAATAAGAATTGAAAGAAGAATGCATATTGTGAGTTAAATTTGTATTTTGGCACCATATCATTGTTGGAAGCAACCCTGGTTTATAGTTTTATTGTCACTTTATCTTTGTATGATCATTATTTTTCCATCTCGTCCCTTTTTTATTTATTTTTTTGCTTTGCCTTTTTTTAATCTATAAATCTTGCTTTCTGAACTGCATGATCATCTCGTAGTTGTTACTAGTGGTAGGTTTGTGAATATTAAATTTTATTTTGTCCCATTTTGTACTCTTTTTTTTTTCTGCGTAATTAATAGATTAATGAGGCTTTGTCCGTTTTTTTATTATTGTTATGATTAATTTTGCGGGAAGGTGCTAGCAGCTGTATGGTAAGCTGATTAAGCAATTTATCACAAATTATATTTGGACAGATTTTTTTTCCCTAAACATCTCTCGCTGCTCTGCACTGTTGGACATTTGATCACTTAAGAAAATATTTTGTCACACTGATTAAAATAGGCAGTCTTACTACAAAATTTTGTCAATTAATGGCACTTTTTCCTAACAATGGTTGAAATAATTTACTAGCGAGTGTCAAAACCTTTAACCCACTAGTACAACTAGTCACCGCGAAGTGTGCACACTAGTTAACCTGTGCGACCTACATTTTTAACGCATGAACCAGTAAACCCCAAAATACTCACTAGCGGGACACACCGTACTTGATTTCAAATTAATGTTCAAACGGCTTGCCATACAGCGGCTCCAGTGTGCGGGTAAACTTTGATCTGACGCAGTAACGTGTGTGGCTGTTCGAGGGGGAGGGAGGTAAACAAGATGGCGACAACCTGAGAGGCAGCAGTAGCACAGAGAGTGAGGGAAAAATTACTGATATTGAGCGTTAACACTCAAACGGAACATTTTCACCGAGGACGGACATACGAAGTGCAAACACACCGCACAACGGACACACTCATTCGGATAAAGGTGAGAGGAGCGACCTAGCTTGGTAAACTGGTAGCAAAAACATTGGATTCAGTCTTGAGCGTCTTGCTAGCCATCAGTTAGCTTGCATTAGCTGGATTAATCTGGTGTTTCAGAGCATATTGGATGTAAAAGCTAAAGCTAGTTCTGCTGTTAGATGAGCATAATGCAGCATAGTTGGAGAACAATGCGCGTCACTTGGTATGCCGCTGCCTCCCCTGCGCGTCATGAAGTGAAGTTAGCTAAGACGTTAGCCACAGTTGTGTGACGACGTTTCGCTCCCCCATACTAGCACCCACCAGATGTGTTCATTCAGCTTTCGTTAAAAGCAAACTCGTCACTGTGGTTTTAAAGTTTATTTTTTATTATAATTGTTTAGTATGTGCATTTTGAGGAACAGCTCATGTTTGAAAGCTAATTCATTCAATCGGGAGGACCTAGAGAAACTTGGCAGCTAGTCTTGTGAACTAAAGCATATACCGGTAGTTAGTTTTGACATGCTTAATGAAGGAAAAGCTCAAATTTAGCTTTGAAAAGCTTTTGTGTCTGTTGTCCGCATTTGAGCCCGTGGAAAAGCGGATTTATTAGAGCTATAATCAATGAAACCTTTCTCAAGATGTGAGTAACACACAATTTAAAGCTTTATTTATTATGTAACGGCCTAAATGTGTTGGCCTCCTAAAATATGAAGACATAAACGACCATATATTTTCAGACTTTAGTTTCCCTGTTGTAAAGCTTAAGTTCTTCACCTTTCCCGCTGACCTGTTTGTCAAAGTAGTTTTTTCCATTTGTTGTGTGTACAAATAAAGAGTCATATCTGTCTTACAGCAAGGAGAAAATTCAGAGGTTAAATGGTCAAAGTGTTTATGTGTTTTTTTTTTTTTTTACTGCCATTGTAATAGTTAGATTAAGTTTTAAGACAGAGTCAACAGTGATTTTTTTTTTTTTTTGAATAATGTGGTTAATCATTTCTCAGGCTCCAAGCTATACAAACTGCGGTGACATGGAGGACACCTGAGGACGGTTCAACACTTTGGGTGCTTCAGTCGACCTGCAACGCGACTGACACCAGATATCGGATCGATCCTGCTGCTTGTTTCGGTTGTTGTTCTCCGCTTGGATCCAGTCCAGCTGTACACACTTATGTGTCCTATGGAAAGTATGCAACCCAGCCAGGACCTTTGACAGAAATGCCGTGCTGTGAGGCCTTAAAGCAAGACTGGTTTCATTTACCAAAAATTGTATGGTATTAAAATCATAAACGGATAAAACAACACTGTCGCAAAGGAAAATAATATTGTAGAATCATAATTTTTAGCACTCATCGATTTGGTTCATAATGCACAGTAAAAAACACTAATTGAGCCAACAGCTTCTGCACCTCTTTTAGGACCGCTTGTACAAAAAGAGCCCTAATGTTTACAGGTTTCACATTGATCACCCACTTTTTTCTTCATCTCTCAGGCCTCATTTTTCCCTCCCTCATTGTCAGTATTTTCTAGAAACACTCAGTTCAGCTGAAAGGTTAACAGCGGTTTACCCCCTACCACCAGTTGTAGCCAGTTTTTAAACCTTTTCCCTGCACACAAGGCTTGGGCAGTGGTTAGAAGAAATACCAGTCATGAGTGACGGGGAGCTGCATCACCTCGATTATCTAAATGAAAATGAACTTATGGAGATGGACACTTTTATTCACCGCATTGACTCAACAGAGGTGATCTACCAACCACGGAGGAAGAGGGCAAAGCTGATAGGAAAGTACCTGATGGGGGATCTGCTAGGGGAAGGATCTTATGGCAAGGTGAAAGAAATGCTGGACTCAGAAACACTTTGTCGCAGAGCTGTCAAGATACTGAAGAAGAAGAAGCTTAGGAGGATTCCCAACGGAGAAGCCAATGTGAAAAAGTAAGTTTTGTTCATTTGCAAGCTTGTTTTGTGTCTATTTGTATGATTTGCATTTTGAAGGTTAAATTTTAGCTTCTTATATTTGAGATAGAAATAGTTTGTTATGCAACTACACTAATTTAATTCAGCGCTGAAAATTCAATTAAAAAAAATTACATGCTAATGGTTTTTTTTTTCTGACTGGGACAGTATTTACAACATTTCATGCCTCAACATTTGCAATCTTCAATGTTAAACTTCTATTTAGATAAAGCCTTTTAATTATCTTTTGCACTAATAACTGATAAGTTGCCATTGATTATTCTTGTTCCTGTTGATTTTTGCAAGGAAAGCAACTGTGCTCAGTTTCAATATAAGTTAAAATCGATTAAAATCCTGCTGTAATGTTTACTTTTTCCCTAAATAAGTTTTTCTCTTTTACTTGAACCCAGATTCAGTCCTTTTAAATATAAAATGTATTCCTCTAACTTCTAACAAAGCCTAATTACACTAAAAACGTGTATGCTAGTCTGCCTTCAGGCCCAGGCCTCCCTTGCAAAAGAGATCTCAATGGGATTTGCCTGGTTAAATAAAGGTTAATACATAAATTAGGATGTGATGTTCCTTTAAATGGGGGACTGAAAATTGTGACTAATTTATACTAATTTAGGACCTATGATGTCCATAAAATCTGTATCGCTCTACTGACGTGAACAGTTTTAGCAATTAAACACAATTTTGAATGTTGATGCAGGAAATGATGAAACAACTTCATTATAATATTTGTTTCAAATGAGAAGAAACGGCTGAGGAAGCATAGCGCAAAATATCTCAATACAATGTTTATGATCTTTGATGTTTAGCCATTCTTAAAACATAACTAAGATGCAAAGTTTATTTTGCATTGTTACATCTTTGGTTATTACATACATTTAAATATACTAAGCTATTCTATTGTTTTTATTTTTTTTTATTTTGCAAAAATAAATAATAAAAAACATTGTCTATACTTTTGATTTGTTTTGAGAGAGAATAGTATTATGCAAAGTAGCACTTTGCAGTGTTTTACAAATTGTGATTTAAAAGGTACATTCAAAAGGCGTTCAATACAAAAACTGGACTTTATTTGTAACAGAAGACGTTTCGCTCCTCATCCGAGGAGCTTTCTCAATTCAATGAGCAGTGAGTGAGAGATTCAGGTTATAAGGCTTTAAAGGTACAACAATTGTAATCAAGAAATGTACTCTCCTAAATATTAACATTTAAAATATTCTCCTTACATGTTTAGATACTTGATGGATTCAAATTTGGTTAGTTGTATGACCGAATAAAACAGAGAAACCTTGTTAAAAACAACCATTACAACATTTAAGATTGGATACAATCTGTGCAATTTAAGGTGTCTACCCAAACAAAAGCTCTCATTTAAAAATTGTATCTTTGCCCAACAATGACATTTTTTGCATCAGTTTTTTCATAGCCTCCTGACGGATTATTCAGTACTTCTGTTTCCTGCTGTTTTTTGTTTGTTTGTTTTGTATGTGTGTGTGATTTGTCTGTTGTACATACTTATCAGACCATTTTTGTAATTCACTTCCTGATTAGCCCAAGTTTTAATCACCTTAGTTTTATTAAATAATATCCAGCCATTCGCTGTGGGCCTGCGCTAATTATAGCAGTAGCTTTAGAAAACTGTCAGAATGAGTTCACTCGGAGGGAATGAAGCACTGCAAGATGTGTTTGTAGGCCAGATTCAAAACTGCAGCAGAAGGATAATGAAACACTGCTTTCACTGTTCACCTAAGGGTATTTTGGTATTATGGGATTTTCTGACTTACTGTCTTACATTTGCCATTTTAATATAGACTGGTATAAATTAACCTCATACTTTTTGGTAGCTAAAATGCCCCGACAGCAGCTGTGGTGCTCCATCAGTATCTGTGCTGGCTCTGTTTTGATTAGTGGTGTATTGTCTTTTCAGAGTTCCTGCAGCTCGATCCAACATTTATGAAGTGCTGCATGTCTCAGACTGTGCAATATCCATTTGTTCCTTTAAATGCAGGACTGAAAATTATGACTAGGCAAGTCAGGTTTTCATACACACAGAAGAAGAAAAAAACAAATATACAGTTACAGACATTGTCCACACATGCAGGACAAAAGGGAAGCTGCACTAACCTGTGTTCTGGTTCGTACTAGAGAAAATTAATGTGCTGGAAAAAGATTTTAAAAGGGCTCTAGGTATTCTACTTTGCTTCTTTTAATTTAATGCTGTTTCAGTTTTGTATGTCATATTAGAAGATATCTATTTATGATTGGTAATTTAAAACTAAACATTTTTAAGCTACTTTATAGGGGTGCACCGATTGCAGTTTTCTGGCCGATCACCGGTTTCTAAAATGTCTGACCTGCCGATTCCGATTTTGTTTTATAAGCGACAATGTCAGGTGTTATAAGTTCACAACGCACCTTCAATTTTCCAATAATATTTTGTTGAAAAACATACACTTGAACAATATCCTAGAAACAATACAAACTTGTTTTAACTGGCCATGATGTAGTGCTCTGAAATATAAATCAAGTTCAGACAATTGTTGTTAAAACAAACAAACAAAAAAAAAATCTGTAAAATCGGTTTCTCATGCAAGTATCGGCCAATTTCCCAAAATTAAGGAAATCGGGGCCGATAGTGCACCCCTACTACTTTACATATTTTCTTGAGGCCTTACAATGGTTGTTACATGCTTTGGTCAAAGTACAACAGGATTACTATATCACATCACTGTTCTGTTCTGTCTTTAAAGCTATTTATGTTATTAGTGAGCTATTTAGTGACGTGTGTAGTTAGAAACTCCTCTTATTCTGTAGGACGTCTTTTTAGATGGTTGTACAGTATATGCACAATTTACTCTCAGTAACCCTTGAAGGACATTTCTGCCCAATGAAAAGGAACAAAACTCAAACGCTCTCTTAGCATTTAGATCATTTAAATAACTTTTATTGTGACTGCCTCTTGGGCATTTCTGGATCATTTCAGAAAGAAAAAAAAAAAACTAGAAGACAGCACTAAACCTCAGTCAGTGTTTTTTTAAAAACTGATGGCTGTAGTTGTGTTACCTGACCGACCTTGAACAATTTTGCAGAGAGCCTGGCAAAGTGTGTCTGTAACCTCTTTCACAAAATACTTACAAGCCGGGCCTGAGAAGCGTTCTTTTACTCTTCTTTTTGTAAGATTTGTGTAACAACTGAGTTGGCAATGGGAGGCTGAAATTGCCCCGTCGCTGATAAGCAAGGTAGTCAGAGCCCAAATGGTCAGTCTGTGTGGGTAAGCCAGCATCTCGGCTCGAGGGTGTGATGTTGTGATGACACACAGTCTGTGCTCTCAGCCAGTTGAGGGATTTCAAATGATATGAGGGAGATGTCCAACATACATTTTAAGCATAGCGATCCTCAACACCTCAGTTAATTTCCTCACTTCAAATAGTTCCAAAATGCTAGATTTATTGTGCAAGTGCACTTCGGCATGAGACGCTGCTATCTCGTTTGATGCATGTTTTAATGACCAGAGGCAGCTTTGAAAAGGGGCTCATGTTTGCAGCCATACTGAAGAAATGTTTAGGAAAGGCCTTGCGAACTTGTGCCACAGTCTCTCCATTCAGAGGCTGCTTAGCATTCCTGTCAACCAAAACACTTCCTGTTTTTAAAATGTTGCTATTGGAGTGGGCATGCCCATGCTGGTATTGACTGTGCAATGCCACTTGTGTTGTTATGGCAACACCCCAGCGAAGCCTGTCTGGAATGACAGGAACGTACATGGACACACTCACCCCAGCGCAGCGCAGATTCAGATTCTGGTACATTGTTTATGTAGCTGCTGCATTACAGTGGCTTCTGTATCGCTGAGTGTTGCAGTCCTCTCAGCTCTGCAGGCTGTAAGTGCACAAGGTCCTTCAGTACAAATTTGAACTCAGACTGCAGATGGACTGCAGCAGTCACTGAGCCCTCGCTGTCAGCACGGCCTCTGTTTTATGATTTTGCACTATGGAGATGAGCAGCGGTCTGGATGCAGTGACACAAAAACACAGTGAAATCGAGATGAGTCATCCGCTCTTATTTGTTGGATAGTGGAGACATTTTACAGTTTGAAGCAAGATGAAACATATAACCACGTTTTGATTGTATTTATCTTTCATATATGCATGATGGGGCAGCACGGTGGCGCAACTGGTAGAGCTGCTGCCTCTCAGCGAGCAGGTCCCTGGTTCAAACCCGGGTCCAGGGGCCGTTCTGGGTGGAGTTTGCATGTTCTCTCCGTGCATGCATGGGTTTTCTCCGGGTACTCCGGTTTCCTCCCACAGTCCAAAAACATGCATGTTAGGCTGATTGGTAACTCTAAATTGTCCTTAGGTGTGAGTGAGAGAGTGAATGGTTGTTTCTCGTTTGTCTCTGTGTGGCCCTGTGATGGACTTGCGACCCGTCCAGGGTGTACCCCGCCCCTCGCACAGTGATTGCTGGACATGGGCACCAGCGACCCCCGTGACCCAAAATGGAATAAGCGGGTAAAGAAAATGGATGGATGGATATGCATGATGAAGCAGTAGTGTTCTTATCACTGCAGTGATGCAGCAGTAAATTGTGGGTTTGTGTGAAAGGAAGAGGCACTTTAGGCACTATATATGTATATATATATATATATATATATATATATTATATATATATATTCATCTGTCAGTGGTATGGTTGTGTTAAAGGAAAAGAGCTGACACAGCTCATCAACTGCACAGTGATAATTAGGCCCAGAATAGCTCGTTTGTTTTCTTAAGAGGGCAGATGTTTCAGCCATGTTTGAGCTCTATAGTTTTATTTTAGGCACTGATACATTATCTTTTTCCTCTGAGTTATAACTACTTGATACAATAAACCATTTGTGGATTGGACAAAGGAAAGAGAACTCAATTTAAAAAGCCAAGACTTTTACATATGTGTTACATAAAAATATTATTACATAAATCATCTTGGTATTCCTTTTCTTTCTCTAGTAAATATGCTATGATGGTGCAGAGTTGAAGACAGAATTGTATTGTGTGTAGTGAGATCATCAAAAGTACTTATGCATGATGTGTAACTTCATCATACATTCGTTACTTTTGTGTAAATATTCATCATACTTCATGGAGACAGCTTTGAGTGCTGAAAATAGCAATTGTGTACACACACATGTTTATTTGCACAGAGTAAGGTAGTACTTTACAAAAAGGTTTTTTTTTTTTACATGTCACATTTTTCCAGCAGTTTGCATCGGCATTCCAAATGTGCTGTGGTCATGATATTCTTAATTAGTGTGGTAGTATAAAAGCAGCTAAAACATTTCTACGTGTTCAAGCTTAAACAGTTTCTGTTCGTAAAGGGTTAACTCTACTTCCGTAATAGTTGTCAACCTAAGAAAAACAGTATTTTACTTGACACTTGAATACACAGTTGACGCCCCATCATCAGTTTGTTGGAAGATCTTAAAGAGTTTTTGCAAGCTGTTTGGTAGTAAAATTTTATTTCAAGCTGGTATATGCTGAAATGTGCAAAATAAATAATTATGCATGGGAGCTTTTGAAAATATTGGCAAAAATTAAGCTGCAGTTCATCTTTGGTTTACATGCTGAAGGAAAAAAAAACAACTTTTAAATTAAACTATAGAGAAAGTCTGGATAACATGTTTGTGTGCATGTATAATTTGATCAGTCATGCTCCTCTAAACATCTGCATATGCAATAATTTGTTTAATAATTTGCCAAATAATTTCACTGTCACTTTGTGTGTTGATGTTGAGATGACAGGCTGTTGGGACATGCATTGATAGTTTTGTCAGCTTTGTGTGTATTCATTACTAGTTCTAATCTGTCACAAAATGTTACTATCAACCAGGATAAATTAATATGCTGTCAGGTTAGTTCGAAGTTGTGCAGTTACAAAAAGGACCATGTCATTAAGAGGGAAACTGACTAAATTAAGGTGTCAGCTTCAAATCATTTTTGTGGAGAGCTTTGTGCTGAGTTGGCAGGTTTTCCATGTATGTTCCTACATGGGTTTTGGGAGGGTACTCCAGCTTCCTCCCATAGTCTAAAAATCTGCATGTTGGCCCTGTAATGGATTGACAACTTGCTCAGTGTGTTTCCCACCTCAACTAGGATAGGCTGTTATCTTCAACCCAGATATAATATAGTATCGTCAATATCATAATTTATTAATAAATAATCAAATGTCGCTTTGTAACACATTTTGCATTGGTAAATTAGACTTTTTGGTTTTCAGTCACCACAGTATGAAGCATGGCTGGTCTTGCATAAATGTAGCTGATATTTATTGTATGATTGAAATGTTTTGTACAAAAAAGGTAAAACAAGCAGTTTTTAAGATCTAAAAAATGTCATGGCTACCTATTCAACAGTGGTACGAATGATCCTGTGTGGCAGTGTTACTACAGCTGTAAAGCAAACAGTATTATGTCTTAATATTAGGGATGCACGCAGAACGATATTATCGGCATGGTATCCGTATCAGCCGATATTGGCGATAAAGTTAAATATCGGGCATCGGCCATTCCATCAAAATAACTCGCCAATATAAAAGGCATATGTGTGTGTACATACATACATACATACATACATACATACATACATACATACATACATACATACATACATCATATATATACATACATAATATATATACATACATACATCGTTCAACATTTAAATTTGACGTTAAACACAATCCAAGTTGAAGTGTTACATCATTTTCAGACCCCTTTTTGGCATCTGCATTTGGTAGCAGCCAAATTGACAAAGACCACGCAGAATAATGTAGTATTTTAATTCCACAGCAGAGAAAGCTATGTAGTCTCTGTAAGTGTCTAGGAAAAAAATAGTGGTATTATCATATCGGATATCGGCCAAAAATCCAATATTGTGCATCTCTACTTAAAATAAAAGGCTTTATCTCTCAAACAAAGTAAAGCAAAAAAAATCCCCTGTTCTGACTTTTAAGTAAGAAGATTCCTGTTCCCGGGTCAAATCTTAGTGCATTCTTTGTGTGGATGTTTATGGCATTCTTTGTTGAGTTTGTGGTTAACATACTTTACTGTTGCTTAGAACATTTTGTCTTCTTCTCTGATGAATGTTGAGTTTCAGTGGGTTGTCATACTCATGATTTAAACGTCAGTTTCTTGGATAGCAAACTGACATTTCCAGTTTTGTGTTTTTATGAAAAAGCTCATGTAATTAACTGTGGCTGCGCTTGAACACGTTGCTGTTTTTTTGTTTGTTTTTTGTTTTTTTTTTGGGGGGGGGGGGGGGGGTCTATATTAATACAACCAAAGCCCTAAAACATAAACACAAGTGCCATCAACAATTCTTTTCTGCCAAACAATTTTTTTGATTCGGTGATAAAACACATTACACCTGCACTATATGGTGACATTATTATGTCAATGCATTGATTTATGAAACCTGGGCTTTAGCCTACATTCCGGCAGAAGTGTACCACTGTTAATAACATTGTAGATGTTGTGCTTGATCTTTGTCTTCGTTTCTCTGTTTTCTACTTTAGGGAGATTCAGCTGCTAAGAAGACTCCAACACAAGAATGTGATTCAGTTAGTTGATGTGCTCTACAATGAAGAGAAGCAGAAAATATATCCTCAATCTCATGAATATTGATATTAATTAGATGTGCCATAAAAGTGACTGTTATTGAGGGTGTATTTGTTTGTATTTTAGTTTAACAGCTCCAAGTATTTGTTCATTAAACTTCTCCTTGACTCCTGACTTACGTATATGGTGATGGAGTATTGTGTTTGTGGGATGCAAGAGATGTTGGACAGCGTACAAGAGAAAAGATTTCCAGTATTTCAAGCTCACGGGTAAGTCTCAATATTGTTTTTTGTTTTTTTTACTTTCCTCCTTCCCCCTCTAGTCTCCCTTTCTTTGAGCCTCTCAGCTATATTTAGCATGACCCTCTCTACTGCTGCTTCTCCAGGCCTAAGTTTAGAGCTGAGTGGGCAGAGCCTATATTATTAAAATAACTAACTAGAGATTGTGTCAAAGTCTCATTACTGCCAGAAAACAGCTAAGGTATTTTAGCTAATTCTTCATAAACTGTTTATTTTTTCTTATACATTTACTTTAGAAAATAATTAAGATTTCCCTCTTATTAAAGTACTGCAGTAATGTTCAAAACTGAACAACTGGGATTGGTAAAACCACCAGTGAACTAGATTAAGAACAAATTATTTATAATCTGAAAGGATAATGGTTAATTTTGATCTTCATGAAAAAACATGTTTACTATAAGTCTGAGGTAGGGTAGCAAAGGAGCAAAAAAACTTCTGGAAACTTTCCAGAAGTTTTCCATGGGAGGTTGGAAAATTTTGAAAATATTCCAAAATGTAACTTTCAATAAGAATTTAAGGGACTAAACAGAAAATTGGGGGTGGTTTAAACAAAATATCACATTTAAAAAAAAAACGTAAACACTTTATCTTCAGCAGATAACTTCATATTACGTTTGAATCAAAGTTTATAAAAGTACCACATTTATTGACCTCATTTGGATATGATGACTTCATTGTGTCACAACCACAGAACTTACAGAAAATAAAGGATTTTGAGCATTTTTAAAGTTCTTTTTGTTCTTGTTGTTGCTTAATCTTTTTCTAAAATTATAAACACACTCAGAACAAAAATATTTGCATTATAGTAAGTCTATTATGTAAATCATCAAATTTTTATCAATAAATCACTGAAATGTCTAAATTTAGGTACAAAAAAGTTGAAGTTTATTCACACAACTCTGGACATAACCATCTTTATGCCATTTGGACATTATTTTGGCACATTTGTTCTTTATCTACATAAAATCTAAATAAATTTCAGTAAATCGTGTTTCAATACAAAACTATTTACATGTTACTTTTACATCTGTCCCTACATTATCAGGTGACACCGTTTACATTTTGTAGGATGTGGTACCTCTAATTGTATAGTACTGCAATGAAATCTGGTTGTTTTAGTAAAGATCATGAAAAAAAACGTTTTCCCCATCTATATTTAAAATCCCTGTGCAAGGGCCAACCTTCAGTATTTTAAATCACAACTTTATTCTTGTTCGTTCCCTGGTAATTCCTCTTAATTCCCATGGAAAGTTTCCAACTTTGAAATTACCTGGAACTTTGCAACTGTAATCTGAAGTCACTTAATTGTTGGAATCCAAATCTGTCAGAAACATTCTTGAAAGGTTGAATGAAACTTACTGCCATGTGCACAGTGAGAAGAAAACTCGAAACTTCTGAAAAAACAGCTGTGTAGCCTCAGGATGAGATAAATTTAAAGTGCTAGTGACTTCATATTTTTATAGAAAATTATGCATCTTTGGAAAGACGACATTACAACGTGCAAAAAAAGGTCATGCTGCTGAGATGAACTGTCAAGATATTTGCATGAGCAATAACAGGAAGTGATGACAAAGGAGAACCTGCATGTAAACAGAGCATTGCTACAACGGCCAACAACACAGCAGAGAGGAATCGGCTGTTTCTTTACATCATTTTGAGTTACTATCAGAGAGACAAAGAGTCAGTTCAAATATTGTTTCATTAAACTAAGACCAGTGAGTTGCCCCTTTTTAAAGAGTTCCCCTTTAATGTCACTTCCTGTTTCACTTTGGTCAAAGAAAATATGCCAGTTATGTGATTAAATGGGTAAAATCATGTGCATTATGCTAAATTTCTTAAATGTTGAGATGCTTTTATCCACTTTTTGTTTTTGTAGGATATGCATGTCACAGGCACTTTAAAATGGTAAAGATTAGACTTCACAAGGTTCAGATTTACTCTATTTCAGAGTGATGGGTGCCTACAGTACAAACCTGTGGAAGCAGTGTCATCATATATTCATGTAGTACCTAAATATGCCAAAATAACTGTTTTTATCTTTTCAGTAGGTTTTTTTTTTTTTTTTTCTACTGTCATGAGAATAATTCTAAATTACAATTGCTGGATTCATTTATCTTAAAATGTAAAAGTTATTGAAGCATTTTTTTTTTGTCATGTATTGGCCACCACACATTCCAGGCCCTAACTCCTCTGATGAAGTTAAATATGTTTCCTAAAATACACATTTGTGTTATAATATTTAGTTTTGGCAAGGCACTGTGTATCTTTTACCTGTAAAATACTTTGATTTTCTCTATTGTTGCTTTTTGCAGGTACTTTTGCCAACTTTTAGATGGCCTTGAATATTTGCACAGCCAGGGAATTGTTCACAAAGATATTAAACCAGGAAATCTGCTGCTGACCACAGATGGATCACTTAAAATCTCTGACCTTGGAGTGGCAGAGGTAAACTCAGAACTATTATAATTACTATCAGATTTCACCAGACCAAACCTCTATTTTTACTGCTAATTGTCAACTGTAACTTACTCTTTAAAAGCCATAGCTGTTTTCATTTTTTCATTTTATTCTTTGTGTGGAAACCATTAATTAGCATTGACATACGTTTTGAATAGTGGTTTTTGGTTTTCACGTTACTTAATGATATTTATATATATATATATATATATATATATATATATATATATATATGCTTTTATTGATTGTATTTAGCCATGCATGACATTTTTGTACAAATAGATTATAAATTATATTTTATTGAATAAATACTGTGGCAATAAATACTAAAGTTAATCATATTATGTTCTCCCTCTGATGTTTTCAGGCCCTTCATCCGTTTGCAGAGGATGACACGTGTCGCACCAGTCAGGGCTCGCCGGCCTTCCAGCCCCCGGAGATCGCTAACGGTCTGGACACCTTTTCGGGGTTTAAAGTGGACATTTGGTCTGCTGGAGTAACACTGTGAGTGACGCTCATCACAGCCCTGATGCCATTCTTCACCTGTAAACGTGCTATTCTTAATCTTTGCTTTTTTTGGAATTCAGATACAACATTACAACGAGTCTTTATCCGTTTGAGGGAGACAACATCTATAAGCTATTTGAGAACATTGGAAAAGGAGACTACACTATTCCTGAAGACTGCGGACCTCTCCTGTCGAACCTGCTGCAAGGTAAGTGTTGCTCTGTGCAAAGTCTCTTGTCTCAAAAACACTAAAAGCATTTTCACTGAAAAGCAGGACATAGACTTTTTTTTTTTTACCAAAATCGTATTTGTATACTGATCCTATATAAGTTTGAACCTTGAATTTGTGATTTAATAAGTAAACTCTGTTAAATAATAAATATTTTCCTCCTCTTCATTGTACGGCTGATCAGCTTTTTTCTTTTTCTGAACACAGCTGATCTAGTTAAGAACATCAGCACAAATGAGAAACGTGTTTAGAAAAAATAAACATACATTTTTAGAATAATCTTTTTTTTTCTATAGTTTCCTGAAATGTAGCAATGAGTTCACAGTGAAATATTGAATTAATCATGTAATTTTATGTTTCCGCCATAACAAGAAATGTGGTAAACGTATCACTAGGGCTGTCATGCTCTAATGTCAAAATGTCATTGAAAAGCTTTTCCATCAATATGTTATCTAGATTACAGGGTGCATGTTATGTTGTATTACTGAAAATGAAATATTAAAGGGCACTACTTGAAAATGAAATTGCCCACGCATCTAGTAAATGTAATAATAATACATCGTGTCTGAAAGTGACGGTGTTCTTTGTTCATCCAGTAGGTGGTGCTTTGACATTAAAAGTAACTGATTTCTCTTCCAAACTATAGAAACGCTGTCAGCTGACGTCATTGCATTGATCTAAAGCCTGCAACAAAATACTAAACACCTTAAGCTTGAGCTGTTTTTTTTTTTTACTAATACGCTGACATTTTCCTACTAAAAACTAAAAATAATTGAGAAGCATTTTTTTCTTTCTTAAATAACTTTGTTTAAAATAAAAAAAATCATCAGCCTGTTTAAAATCCAAGAACGTTGTAAAGATTGCTTGTTTGCAAACAGTAATTCAATTTTCAATTCAATTCAGTTTATTTATATAGCGCCAAATCACAGCAAAGTTGTCTCAGGGCACTTTACAGGAACATTCACATACATAAAAGCCAGTTAGTAAAGTTCTCTATCTAAAGAGGCCAGCAGACAAGTTGAATCTTGGCTTCATTGCAGTCTCTCATCCTGAGCAAGCAAAATCATAAAATGTGAAATCCTTAATGAAGGCTGAATGCCAAAGAGGAATTTCAGCCTTTTAGTCAGTTTTACATTTAAACAATCTTCGTCATAGTGATTTAAGTGGTTTACAATAAACTGAAAGGAAACAAATTGCTGTTTTAAAACGCGCTGGGTTTCTGTCCCGCATTTTAAGTGTGTGACGTGTGTCTTTGATGACGCAGCACCTGAGAGACAGTCAGTCCATAATTGCGTGGTCTAAAATAAACCTGGCACTACAAAGTGTGTCCTTCAGCAGGCGCAGCACTATCAGCCCTTTGCATTCTGCTCCTCTCTGCCCAGTGGATGGTAATTACATTACTGGGATAGGCATCACATCACTTCTGCCTTTTCACGCTGCTTCCTGTGCAAATCCAGTCCACATTACAATAAACTTAAGCACAACACTTGTGGAGTTCATGTGGATTTTTCCTCACATTACTCTCCAGACTTTTTAAAACTACACAAGATGTTTTGATGCTCTATTAGGAGTGATTGCCTTTTTTTTTTTTTCTTCAAGCGTTTGTATGCCAATAACCTCCCCCTCCTCAATGAGATCTCCCACTGCCTTGAAAAGCATTTATTTTATTATTTATTTATTTTTAAATGCGTGAAAACAAATGTGTGTGTGTTTCAGGAATGCTTGAGTACGACCCTTCAAAGAGGTTTTCCATACAAAACATAAGGCAACACAAGTGAGTGAACATCTGTCGCAGTCGATTTGCATGACCATTTGAAAATGGCTCCCATTCTACAGGGTCCAGACTTGTGCTGCCATTTACATAACTCACTAATGTCCTCTCTTATTTCGAACATCGCCAGCTGGGTGCGAAAGAAACACCCTCCATCTGAGCCCCCCGTTCCCATCCCTCCCAGTGCAGAAAGCAGGGACCCATGGAGGAGTATGACAGTAGTTCCCTACCTGGAAGATTTACATGGCTACACAGAAGATGATGACGACGAGTTCTACGATGGAGAGGATGAGATCATATACACTCAGGACTTCACAGTGCCAGGTACATTGGACTTGGAGTTATACTGTCATATTCAGAACTGTTTACTCCCATGAGCTTTGAGAACATCATTTAATTTATCCCTGGAAAAGGTACCAGTTTTTTGTTTTTTTATCAAAACATTTGAACAGATTTTAAACTATGAAAATGTGAGAATCCTGAGCACAATTATTAGCATTAATTTGATGAACTCAGATAACCAAAGACCCTGTCATGGCTCTGTGATTATTAGTTTTCACTATACAGGATGGTTTCTAAAACATGCATTGATGTTCTTGTATAAAAATTAAATGATTAATCCAACAAGGTTAAGTCAGGTCCTCTGGACGGTTTCTTTTTTTTTTTTTTTTTTTTAAACGTTTTGTGCTTCTTCAGTCCGAGGAGCCACAACAAACCCCAGAAACCATCTTATCACCATAAAACTGTTTGTCCCACTATGTGAGTAAGCCACTTATGGGACTGAGTTTGTAGTGGTTCCTCGGACTGAGGAAGTCCTTTGGATGAAGGACGAAATGTTTCAACAACCCAAAAGAGTAACCGTCATGGGATTATTGAGCATGAACTTTGACAAATGATTAATCCCAGTCTATTTGGCTCAGTGGTAAAGACAAAAAAGCTTCACAAATTCATCTGAATTTGTGTTTTTACAAAAAAGTCCTAAAGCTACAGACCTGTTTCAACCATGGTAGATCATGACTGTGTGTGACTCTTATTAAGACCCATCAGATGTTTGATTTGACCTGGAAGTTTCCTGTGGGACTACAGATTCCAAGTGCTTCCCAACAGACTGATTTCTTATTTGGAAAGTAAAGGCAGACGTGTTAGGATGGTCTCCATTTTTATCTACATCCATACGCACGTAAACTTTCTCTTGTCCCACCCATAACTTCTGACTCGCTTCAGATAATTTAATGAAACTTGATGCATGCAGCATCACTAGATCAAGTGTCACGTACGTTTTTCATCACCCCAGCTTCAAGGTCAAATGTTATACAAGACCTTTGCTTGTCCAGGTCATTACTATAGATTAGGAAGACACTTGTGTATCCTTCCTCTAGAAATGTAACGCAGAAGACTTCTCTGCTGGACTATACATTAAACCGTGGTTGGTTCTGTTTCACTGCAGACGTTTTGACTTCATTTTAGAAATGAAGGATGCATTCAAACCTGGCGTACAGGAGTGCTTAACATAACTGAGTCACAATTTCCTAAAATGTGCTGTGATAATAGTTTCACCACTAAACAAAGCTAGACTTTACTAAGACAATGAAATCAAGCTTCATTTTGTCAATCTCTGTTCAGTTTCGGAAAATTTAGAGATGATTTTATAATAATTATCTGCTATGGGCGAACTCGAACCTTCTAACAGATGTTTGGGTGGATCAATACTAACAAAATCTTTTAATATGTGATTACACTTGTTCCCCAACCCTGGTTTTTATCACATTTCCCTCTTGAATTCAAACCTTTTATCTGTTGCTAAGCAACAACCAGTTATAATAGATGCAGCAGTCAGTGTTGGGTATCTAGAAATGGTGCCCCACATAACAACCAAATGGAGCTGCAGAATGTGAATGAAGTGAAGTAAAAATAGTCAAGTTGAAAGGGGTTTGGTTTGAACTATGAATGGTTTTCCATGGTGTACACACACACACACACACACACACACACCATTGTCCCTTCATATAAATGAAAGACGAGCTTGAATGTTAAATCAAAGAGCTGCCTGACCAGGTGTTTTGGTGATTGCATTGTGCTGCTACTATTATTCACCTGAGAACTGGTTTTTGGTTCATGGAAACAACATAATTGTCTCAGAGCCCCAGCTACACATGCAGACATGAATAAAAGCAAACATAGTTATTTGACCTGACGTTATGCTGATACTTAAAAGATACAAGTAACACTTAGGTGAGGATTTCTTTGTATTCACTTTTTAGGGCAAGTGGCTGAAGAAGACTATGATCAGGAGAGTGCAAATCCCAGTGTAGCTGTAGCCAAGCCAGTTTGTGTGAATGGGACAGAAGGAGGGTCTCTAAACAGCAAAACCAAAGCTGAGCGCAGATCCTCCTCTTCATCCAACCCCTCACGTAAAGGAGTCTCCACAGCCAGCAAAATCCGCAAGCTCTCCACCTGCAAACAGCAATGACAGCCTTCATCTTCCTCCCTAAACAACAACAACCCACCTGGTGAGTGTGAAGACACTTCAAAAGCTGTTTGAGTAACGGAAAATGTTAAGAAAGACACGTTTGACTTTTTGCAACATGTAATAAAGATAAAGACGTAGCGGAGGAGATTGAGGAATAAAAGGAGGAAGTGGGGATGAACGGAGACACTGTTATTATTCAGCTCGCGGTGCTCTGACTCATCACCACTTCTCAGGAAAACACTGGAGCATTTTCACACAGTCACAAAAACTATCACTGACTGGTCAGTCCAATCTCTTTTCTGTGGGTAGTCCTTGTTTGTAATCAAGTGGGACAAAGATTTACTGCAAGCTTATAGAAAATGTGAACTGGTTGTCCCCTTTTTTATTTATTTTTTTTGTAGTTGCCACCCACAGCTGCTCTGTCTCACACACGTACACTCACGGTGCGAGCTTGTTTGGCATGGGTGCAGTGCAGATAGATGCAGTGTATTAATTTGTTCAGGGCGATGACTCATCCTGGATGAGATAAAGTAGGTTGTGGGATGGTTGTGTCTCTTCCTCTGTGGGTTTGTTTTAACACCACAAATACGAATTTGTCTTAATATTTTTATTTCATTGACTCTTTCCTTTTCTATGCATTTTGTATTTTACAGGTTTATCTGTCCTCATCCTTCTGTATCAGGAGTCTGCTGACGTTTATGCCCCCCTGCACCTCTCCCCGGACCTGCAGACTTTCTAGATGAGCTGCAAGAGATCCAGAAGGAGGAGGACAATATGAAAAGTATTTTCTCCTCTGAGACTGTAGCCCTTGCTGTGAAGATTGTGTTAATTTTCCTCCATTATTTCCGCTCCTTCCAACAGTGCATCACTCAGTTCAGTCCTCTGGTTACTTCCCTCCTCCCCCGAGCTGTTTTCCTTGTCAGAGGACCAAATGTTGCACCGGACAGTTCAGACACCAACACCCTGTTTCTGCCCCTTCACCCCACCTTCTGTTTCTCTACCTTTGTTTTTACTGAACCCTAACTGCAGTTTTTAATACACATTGTGATGTGTATAAACAAAACAAAATTAAAGTGGGTAACAAAAACCAAACGTATGAATAATTCTATGTTTAAATCTATCATGTGTTACCAGCAACATAAAAACTGCATGCAGTAGAAAGCTGGAAGAAAGGGAAAGGTGTTTGGTCTGTGAAGACTGTCGGGCTCCTAGGAATTTTTGATTTCTGTTTAGGTTTTATTTTTCCAACTAATATATTTTGTAAAATTATTATTATTTATAAAGAATGTGTCCCAAAGGGGCTGTTTTCTTGAACTGTCAAAAGTTTTCATTGAGCATATATTTAGTACAGCTCCGCCTTTAACGCCCATTATTTCAGTTTTATTATTTTACATCATCCTCACAAGGTTATGCTGCTACATCATATATTTCAGATTTGCTTCTGTTTTGTAGACTGTACCACTGCCACTCCTTCACAGGCAGTCGGTTCCGACAATTTCCCAATCTCCTGGGTTTTTTTTTTTTTAGGTTTTTTTGTGTGTGTGTATGTGTGTGTGTGATGCATTGTTGTGACCATCACATCCCCGGCAGCCCTGCCCCGCTCTTGCGCAATCAGACCCATCATGAGCTCCTCACTGGGAATAGATCAGAGAGCAGGTGAGTCACAACTGTGAGGGGAGGCGGGAGCGACGCTTCCCACGTCAGCAAGGTCAGCACAGTGACTGTGTCCAACGAAAAGACTGGAGCGCAGCACGAGGAGGACGCAGAGACGCCTCGCGTGAACAGGAACATTTCCGCACTATGATTAGTATGTGAGGACACACTTCAGCTTTCTGTTTGGGCAAAGAGTGTGCAGGCTGACAGTTTCATCCAGCGCATCAGCTCATATGAGTCACAACAGGAAGAAAGAAAGGTCAGAAGGTGGAGTTGTACCTTTTTGTGTTTTTAAGGCTGCAGGCTGTCCGACTTCTGTGCACTTGTTTTACAATAAAGCAGAAGGTGCAACCTGAATGAGAATAAAGCCGTGGATTCTATCTAAAAGATGTGCACAGCAGCTCACTGCAGTGGCGTTTTTGTTCCTTCAAAGGAAGCGTGCGAGGCTTACAGTCACAGATGACTTCCTCCAAGCAACAATAACAATCTGACACTTCAAACCCCCCACGATACCTGGTTAGAGGTGCTGCAGTTCATGCTTCTCTTCTGTAACATAAATCTAGAACCACTGGTTATATTTGTGGATTTTTTTTTGGGGGGGGGGGGGGGCAAAGGTGTGTAAAGTTAAAGTTCAAAGACAACTAAAAATGGTTAATTTAATTTGAATTTACCCATTAATTATACAGGTAGTTTCATTGAGCTACGAGAACTCATTTTCAAGAGAGACCTGTTTTGGGGAGCAGATGGTGGGGGTTGAGGGCCTTGCTCAAGGGCCCAGAGTGGGGCAAATGGGAGTGGAGGCAGGTGTGGGTGTTTCACCTTCTCTACCTACATATTTTGATATTGACGGTACCGGGAATTGAACCTGCGACTTTCCGATCACAAGCCCATCTTCTCTAACCTCTGCACCACCATTCCCCCATAATATTTATTATATTTTTATTAATATTTTTAAGGAACAATCAGACAATAATGAGCACTAAGAGCACTTATCACCTGTATATAAACTAGAAGTCATCTTTAAAAGTTGGCATGCACCACACAGCGTCTGAGCTTTAGGTTTAATTCAGATTCAGTTGGCCTGTGTGTAAACACATGAATCGGTTCATTTGCACAAATGTTGCTTCCATGAAACAGGACAGTAGGAAGAGTTTATAAACATGAGTCATTTACATTTCTCTGGTGCGTTTGTTCATGTAGCACGTGAGTAAACTTTCCTTGTACATATTTAAAAAATGATGCGGTTTGAATAATTTAAAAATACATTTTCAGCCAATAATTTTATTTATGTGTGAAAAGTGATGATCGTTTTAAACTGTTCTTGGTAAAACATTTGACCAAAGCAGAGAGGAAATAAAGGTGCTTGTCATAAAATTAGAATATCATGAAAAAGTTTTATTTCAGTAATTCCATTAAAAAAGTGAAACTTTTAAAAAAATGAAACTTGTATATTATATTCATTCATTACACACAGACTGATATATTTCAAATGTTTCTTTTAATGATGATTTTAACAGACAACTAATGAAAACCCCAAATTTAGTATCTCAGAAAATTAGAATATTGTGAAAAGGTTCAATATTGAAGACACCTGGTGCCACAGTCTAATCAGCTAATTAACTCAAAACGCTTGCAAAGGCCTTTAAATGGTCTCTCAGTCTAGTTCTGTGGGCTACACAATCATGGGGAAGACTGCTGACTTGACAGTTGTCCAAACGAGGACCACTGACACCTTGTACAAGGAGGGCAAGACACAAAAGATCATTGCTAAAGAGGCTGGCTGTTCACAGAGCTCTGTGTCCAAGCACGTGAATAGAGAGGCAAAGGGAAGGAAAAGATCTAGAGGAAAAAAAAGTGTAAAAGCAAAAGGGATCACCGCATCCTGGAGAGTATTGTGAAACAAAACCCATTCCAAAATGTGGGGGAGATTCACAAAGAATGGACTGCAGCTGGAGTCAGGGCTTCAAGAACCACCATGCACAGATGTATCCAAGACATGAGTTTCAGCTGTTGCATTCCTTGTGTCAAGCCACTCTTGAACAAGAGACGGCATCAGAAGTGTCTTGCCTGGGACTGCTGCGGAGTGGTCCAAAGTTACGTGCTCTGATGAAAGTAAATTTTCCATTTCCTTTGGAAATCAAGGTCCCAGAGTCTGGAGGAAGAGAGGAGAAACACAGAATCCATGTTGCTTGAGGTCTAGTGTCAAGTTTCCACAGTCTGTGATAATTTGGGGTGCCATGTCATCTGCTGATGTTGGTCCACTGAGTTTTCTGAGATCCAAGGTCAGTGCAGCTGTCTACCAGGAAGTTTTAGAGCACTTCATGCTTCCTGCTGCTGACCAACTTTATGGAGATGCAGATTTCATTTTCCAACAGGACTTGGCACCTGCACACAGTGCCAAAGCTACCAGTACCTGGTTTAAGGACCATGGTATCCCTGTTCTTAATTGGCCAACAAACTCACCTGACCTTAACCCCATAGAAAATCTATGGTGTATTATGAAGAGGAAGATGTGATACACCAGACCCAACAATTCAGAAGAGCTGAAGGCCACTATCAGAGCAACCTGGGCTCTCATAACACGTGAGCAGTGCCACAGACTGATCGACTCCATGCCACGCTGCATTGCTGCAGTAATCCAGGCAAAAGGAGCCCCAACTAAGTACTGAGTGCTGTACATGCTCATACTTTTCATGCTCATACTTTTCAGGTGGCCAACATTTCTAAAAATCCTTTTTTTTACAATTGGTCTTAAGTCATATTCTAATTTTCTGAGATACTGAATTTGGGGTTTTCATTAGTTGTCAGTTATAATCATCAACATTAAAACAAATATTTGAAATATATCAGTCTGTGTGAAATGAATGAATATAATATACAAGTTTCACTTTTTGAATGGAATTACTGAAATAAATCAACTTTTTCATGATATTCTAATTGTATGACCTGTATTTGCTACTCTTTTCAATTTCAAAACCAATTCTATAAATTCTTGTGGAGAAAACCATTTCCTAAATAATTTCTGTGATGTTGGAACATTTCAGGTCTATTCTCATTTTCCTCTTCAGTAGTTTTTAGCACAATGTTCAGTTTTCTCTTCTTTTAATACATATTAACACACTGTGTGACAGAGTGGCATTAAGATCAAATCTGTAGGACTTAATTCATTGTGATAAAAGCATTGTTGTACAATCAGTGTTCAAAGTTCAGCCATAACATTATGACCTAGTATGGATGAGCAGGACAACAAAAGCCATGGTGATGTTAAATCCTTGTGCTCTGTGTGCTACAGAGTGATGTATGTAGATTGTTTCCCTACAAATTAATATAAAGTTTGCAGACCTAGACCACCCTAGACTATTTTTATTGAGTCATTCTTGAGCAGTTTTTGTTAAGCTCTACAATTTAGATTTCTCATCAGGAATGATTCACTGGTGCTTTAAGTTGATTTCCAGGGGAGTTGTTTAAAGTAGCAAAAATAATAATAATCACGATATCAACAAACTTTTATTTGGTATTACAGAGTGAGTTTATGTGTTTCTGCTGGGAACAGACGATGCCACCGTTAGTTACACGTCACAGCATCAACTCCTCAGTGAGCCATCTGTCTCGAAGCCTCTTTCAGTCTCTTCAGGCATCATCTGTCAGTCTTCCCTCAGAAGAGTCCCAGCAACGCAACACTCGAGCCCACGGAAGCTCCTGGATACCACCTCTTTAGTTACGATGCGTAACAAGGACAGATGGCCATCTCGGACTATTAAAAACAAATATGTGTTCAAAAATGCACGCATTTCTACCTTGTTGTGATCGCATCGTCTGCTTCGCATCTGATTTTATTTGAACTTCTTCACTTCTCCACGCTGGATGTATTTTAGTTGTTTCTCACATTATGTACAAACAGAACTGCATTCACACTAACATTTACCCTCATGATGGCTGAGACAAGGACACTTGAAGAGGGGGAAATGGGAGACAAACACCATCATGTTCCCATCAAAGTGCTCTTTGTTAAAATTTCAAGCTGTACAGTTTATTTATATACATTGTTTCAACCTACAGTTGCATGCTAAAACCTCCCAGATAGATCAGAAAATATTTTCTACATCTTTAGCGCAATGAGATGAGTTCACTTGAGTTTATTTTTTAGGATTTTCTTCAAAGGGCATCACAGTGGTAAATGAGTGTAAATGGGGGGAAAAACTGAAGTAGACTATAGTTCTGTCAGTAAAATACATCTAATATTGTTTAACACATGGTGGTATTTGAATTATTTTAGTCAGGATGTTTGTTTTGTAGAGAAAGGACTGAAAGAAGAAGCTGGCACCATTATGTGGGGCTGAACCCAGTGTGGGCCACACTGAGGACGCATTCAGGTTCTGCTGGATTTTCTGCTCTCCGTAGGCTGCCGTAGATCCTCTCCTCCACTGACGCCACCAACTTGTCTGTAAGGCTGCTCTCCGCCTGCAGGGAAGCCTCTGACAGGACCCCCTGACTGCTGTTGTTGTTCCTGTTGTCGACCCTTGGGTCCATGAGGCTCGTTTGGGCTGTCACGGTGCTCGCAGACTGGCTCTTTGTGCTTTCTGTGTCTTTGTTCGTGGCGATTCGGCAGCCGTCAGCCTCACAAGTTGTCCCTGCGCATCCAGAGCTGCTTTTCATTGGGTCGGCTTCTTCGCTTGAGTGACCTTTGCCCTCTGCTCTGTCTTTGGCTGCTTCCTCAGAAACTGCAACCTCGCTGGCTTCTTCGTCTGCGGCGCTTGCTATTCGTGAGAGGGTGCTGTGATATCTGGTGTCCAGAGGGTAACCAGCGCTGTCGCCCCTCCTCAGTGGACTGAACCTCTGCCTCTCCAAAGATGGGGAGTACCTCCCCCCAGAGGCTGAGCCCGGATCGCTGTATTGCTTGTGTCTTTGCCACTGCTTCCGGAGGTGAACTCTGGATCTGTGCCTGGAGCGTAACGGAGAATCCTGCTGATCGAAGCAAGGGTCATGACGAAGAAACTCGTTGAAAAGAGCGTCTGTCTTCTCATCGATGCTGTAGTCACGGCGACGGAGGCAAGGTCGGTGCGGACTACTTGGGGCCTGTGTTGGTTTCGTCAGTGGAGACTGTGGCTCTGGAGCTTTCTGAGGATGGAGGGATTTCAGGAGTTGATATGGCTTCTGTAGGGTTTGAATATGTGATCTCTGTTTGTCCTCCGTTTCTGTGTTGTCTCCAATCTGGTCCTCCAGCTCCTCCTGAAACAGCCTGGCTTCGACACTCTCACACACTGTGCCTTTTCTTCCGGAGCTGGTGAAGAACAGTCTTCTCTCCGACGCCGTCTTCCCTCGTGGGGCTCCGGAAGCTCCAAACATCCGCATCTCCTCTGGGGCCTTGGACGGTGCTTCAATAGAGGCATAGCCACTGTCCATTTGAAGCAGCTTCCTGTTTCCTCCTTCCCCCTCCCCTCCAGCTCCACCTCCAGTCTCACTGTCACCACCTGATGCCCCTCTGTTCCCCATCTCCAACCCCTCGGCCTCCACCTCTCCTTCAGGCTCGTCGTCCAGATCCTGTGACAAGCAGCTGTCCAGGCCGGAGCGAGCCCCTGCTCCGCCGAAGGATGAGACGCTGTCTGCATCGCTGCGGATGGACTCTCGATCTGTGCTGCTCTGGTCTGAGGAGGCATACTGCTCCAAAGAGGCTCGCAAGCTCCAAATGTCCCTGTACAGGGAGGGAGGGGCCTCTGAGCTCTCCTGGCGAACCACGAAAGAAAGACACGAGCCTGAGTCGGTCCTCCGTCTGGCTTCAGCCCCCAGCACCACCTCTTCTCCATCATCCACCTCTGCCTCTCTCTTACTCCTCACATCTGCTGCACTGTCATTTGTTTGTGTGTCTTCGTTTTTCCTCAGCATGTCCTCAAACATTTCCTGCAAGGCTGTCTCTTGTTCCGTCTCAAACAGGTCGTCATCTTCTGCAGATTCCAGCTCATCTCTTGCTGCTTCTGTTCCCTTCACTGCTTCGAACAGGGTCTCCTGTTCCAGCGCTGTTCCATTAACCGTGGCCTCCTCCTCCTGCGTCCCAGCGGGTCCCTCTCTCCTGGTGGTGATGTTGCCACCTGCCTCCACCATGGCCTCCAGCTTGAGCCTGCACAGACGGAGCGCTCACAGTTAGCATGTGATTCCCTGACTGATTTATGTTGTGGGTTTATGTGCAGAAAAATACCTCCTCGGGAAGACTAAGGATGTGGACGCAGATGCAGGTTGAGACAAAGACTCAGCAGAGAGGGACTGGAAGGCACCAGTTTGGATGGGAGTTTGAGGGAATGCTTCAAAGGTGTCCTCTCGGTAAGGGGAGGAGTCCTCGTCGGTGTGGTCGGTGGTTTCACTTGCTGCTCTCTGTCTCTGAAAGGGCCTCCTCCTCGGGGATCCTGGCAGAAATTCACACTCATGCTCAAATTTCACACATTTGACTTATTCTTTATTTTATATATATTTCCACACACACCTTTAGCATCCAGACTGGCAGCTCGGTGACTGGTGTCAAACTTCCATCTTCTAAAATAAGGCCCGGCTCCCTCTAGGCTGGCGTGTCGCCGCAGTTTGGAGAAGAAGCTCAACACAGAAGTCTGGCCCAGAGCTTGTGTGGACTCTCCCCCTGGCCCACTTTTGCTCTCAGCCTCCCTGAACGCATCCATCTGACAGAAGAGATGAAGGAGGGGGAGGATGGAGGGAGGTGATGACACATTAAGGAAGGAGACATGCGAAGATGAATGGAGGCAGTCAGAGTCAAACCCTCAGGGGACAGCGTTTTGTCATTGTGTCCCTCAGCTGCAGTGATGATGGACGTCACGGAGCATCTTCACTTTGAGCGTGTAGCTGCCGCAGATGGCTGGTTGAGTTACTGAAGAAATCACTTGTGTAAATGTTATTCGGGCCAAATTATGCAAACTTAGACTGCTATGTTATTTTAGGGCTAGTGTTGTTTGATGTGTCCAAATGGCATTAAACATTATGCAGAAATGTGAAATAAAACACTCAAAAAGTATTTTAAATGGAACACGGACTGTGTGGATTTATGGTTTTACATCAGACATGGCTAAATCGCCCGATTAGCATAGGATGCACATGTGTCCCACTCTCGCATGAAAACTTTTTTCTTCTCAAACGAACTACAGGCACCGTCATCTATTTAACCTCGTCTCCATGGTAACGAGGAGCCTGGACCCTGAAACAATCTCCCTTATCTGAAGAGAAGAGTGATCCTGGCTGCATGAAGTTTCTCAGTGTGCCTAACTTTCAGTGAATCTGTGAATAACCACAAAGCTCATGACAACTACATAATTATCCTTGTTTCGTTATTTATGTGCACATCATACCATTTTATGATTTAAATTGGTTTTAATCAGTGATGTTTCATTTATCGTCCTCTCTCCCTCCAGCATCTGAGGTTGAAAAGCAAATCTTTAATGGCCTCTCTGTGTGTTTGATGGGTGACCTCTCACCTCTTCATCTTTACGTTTGGCTTTAGCGGTTAAATTTATGTTACACTTCCTGCAGTGTTTTTACAAATGTAGATTACCTGTGATATCCAGGTACTGACAACATTTGAGTGGATGAGAGGACTGGAAAGTTCGATTTTAAAGTGTAAACTTTTGCTTTCTTCTAAGTTGAATACTTGTTGGTAATTTTCCTTCAGAAAGTGCAGAAATGGTTTTATTTCATTGGTCAGTTCATCGAAACATGATCTTATAGCTGCCGGAACCAAGACGTAGAGCTGTCTTTGTCCATCATCATAAATACCTGAGCTTTTAGCTCTTCCTTGCTCTTGGTTCTTTAAATAATGTTCTCTCAACTGAACAGAACCAAAGAAGACAAAAGGAGACTCGTCAGAATCTACAGAAGAACAGAACCTTCAGAGTCATTCTTCAGAGCAGGCTGTTCCAGACGGAGACCGTCTCTGTTGTCCACGGCTGATCGGGCAACGCTGAGTGCACGTCTCCTCCTGGTCCAAACGCCAGACGCAGGCAGCATCTGCCTGCGTCTGGCAGCTTAACTTTATGGGATTTACCTTTTAAAGTGACTGAACTTTGCTTTATCAAACAGATCTAACTGTTCACTTAGTTTGAGAAGTAATTCAGATGAACTTTGTTGCTTTAGAACCCTCTTTCATGCTAAGACGGGGCAAACTGTCTCCATCTTGATCTGTGAGAACATGCTACATGTTCTCTTCTACCTGAGAGAATCACCTCCAACCAACTCTGGGTGATTTGAACTCCTCGGACACGGAGGAGTGAGCCCTGAGGTACCAGGATCCAAACACCTGTTCCTGCAAGTGGCGATGCCCTCCTGGAGCTGGGCCAAGGTCTCTCATGCATCCGCAGGACTCCAGCCTGTTGGTGTAGAACGTCCAGCCGGGTCAACGTCTGCACACGTCAGCAGGAAGAACCTCCTGATGGTCGGACCTCGAGATCCTTCTGCTCATTATGGTTTGATGTCTGAATTATTTAGCATTTATTCTGGGTTATGAACAGATGAACCCATTATTCAACAGTACTTTTACTTTTCTTTAGTGTTTTGAGTAAACCTCTTAATCCTGATTCTATTTGAGTTAGTGAGTTTAAAGGTGACACCCCCCCCCCCACACACACACACACACACACACACATCCACAGTGATCTGAAATATAAACCTCGATTTTAGACCTGACAATAATTCATGACTTCATACCATAAATTACTGAAACCATCATATTCATAATTTATTCTTTGCTTTATTAGTTTGTAAATATTCACCTTTGTAATAAAACCACATAAAATATAAGCACTGTCTTGATTCTCATGTGAGTTTCAAAGGGTCAAACTGTGCTATGAACCCAGAGTCCAACACATAAATGTGAGCTAAGGCTAAATAAACTGGAGCTAGGGGTAAATGAACAACGTCGAGCACTACATACATATTCATGTTTTTTTTAAGCATTGAAGGTGTTCACTACAATGGTTAGATTACATTTTCTGCTTTTTAAATTTTTTTTAAAGTGTTTGTTTTTTGTATAAAAATTGGTGTCAATGTTTTAACCATAATTGTGTTTTCTTCTGTTATTGTTACAAAAGCATGCATTTTTAATCCTGATGCATGCTCAATAATCCAGGTAGAAAAATCCAAAAAAGTTCAATCTGGTCCTCTGGACATTCACGTTTCTATATTTTTTTGCTTTTTTTTTTTTTTTTTTTTTTTGAATGTCCAGAGGACCAGATTGAATTTTTTTGGATGCATTTTTAATGTTTTCTTTTTTTTTTTTTTTTTTTTGTAAATGTGTTTGCTGTTTTCTCTTCTTGGTTTGTGTTATTTTCTGAATAAGGATTCATTTGATTTGTATGTGTTTTCTGTAAATTGTTCACTGTTGTGATTTTTCTTCTGCGTTTTGTGATTTTTTTCTGTTAATTGGCTTGTTCTGTGTGTGGAATCCAAATAGTGTTTGATTTGTCTCTTTGTGTGTCTTTGTGCTGCACCTTGATACCACAGCAGGAAGTCGAGTTTGACATTTATTTCAACAACAAAGGGGTTTTAGTTGAAACCTGTTCTGATAAACACTTCATTAGAAGTGAGAACAAAACTAAGAACATCTGTGAAAGTTTTCTTGTTCCATCCTGAGGTGACAATGTCAAGGTGAGTCTCTTTTTATCTTTGATTCTCTAAATGACGACATTTAGCAGCTTGAATGTTTCCTATTAATTTAAGGTCCATTGAATAAGAACAGTTCACATTTTAAAGGATCCGTTCAGAAAATATTTCAATCTAGACCAAAGCAGTGACTTTTTTGTTATTAATGCTAAAATTAACTCACTGTCTGAGACCGTGTGGTCTGTGGTGAAGGCCCTCGGCATCCCTGGTCCAGGACAGTGGAGTGGTGGGGGTCTCCTGGCAGCCCCCCACTCAGACTCTGTCCCATCCAGTCGGGGATTCTTCTCTCAGTAGGCTGGAAAGATAAATGAGAATGTTTTTCTCATGTGAACACGAGCCCAGATTGCTCAGCTGGTTCAGTTACCTGGTAGATGCTGAGCGGCAGTCTGGGAGCTGCAGTCTCACTGATGTTCATGCTGCTGCTCTCCGTGGAGTCACACTCCATGATGGTGAGTATCTTCAGGTCGCATGGAGCAGGAGGCAGGTGAAGTTGAGTCAGTCGGGCCTTCTTCAGGTGGTGAAAATCTCCCTCTGTCAGGGTGTACCTGAGGAGGAGGATTCATCTTTCAGCTCAACAAACTTCATGATCGAAAAGGAACCTCAGCTCGCGTGAACCAACCTGCGTCCTTTCTCCTGAGCCGCTTTGTCCTGTTCGTACAACGCAGATTCGTTGAAGGAGACTCTGCGGCCAATCGACCCAGTGAAAACAAATCGCTCCGGCTCTCCATCGTGACAGCTTGAAGCTGAGAGGGCATCTGATTCATCCAGACGAATTGTGATTTCTGAGCATCAAAGACAAAGGACACACCAACGGAGGGGAATGAGTCTGTGACGACACTGAAACAGAATGTGTGTGATGTTTTTCTTTCAAGGCCGAGGTCTGACCTTGTGTGGGCTGAGAATCCTCAGCATATGTGGTGTTTGTCTTCTCAGGGTCATCGCTCGCTCTGAAAGAAGGAAACTAGTTTTACTGTTTTTGCAAACGCAAGCGTGCAGGTTCCTGATTGATTTTCCTGCACAGCTTTAACCGGGCGTAGGGATCTGGACCTGGACCCACCTGGAGTAGCGTCGCCCTCCCAGGCAGCAGCGATGGCAGAAGAGGAGCAGCAGGGAAAGCAGGACCAGCGTCCCTCCAGCAAAAACACTCAGCAGCACCAACAGCTGCACATAGTTCTCCGCCTGGCCGGCTGACACGGGCACGTCCTGGTGCTGCCATGAACAGAGGTCAGAGGTCACGACCTTGGTGAGTATTAGCTGCTGCAGACTGATGGAAGACCTGCATTCTTATAACAACAAAAAAGGTTGAATCATGTCATCTGGACTTCGTTTTTTT